GCAAGTCTACGAGACAGTTTGATTCAATAAATAGGTTAAAATCATCAGAACCAGGATGGGAGATCATTTTACCTTTTCTTTCATGCATTCCTCTGACACAGTTGAAGTCGCCACCAAGATAGAAAAAGCAATTCAAGGTTCCAATAAGAGTTGATAGATCCTCCCACAACTTTGCACGACCGGCCACATTACATGGTCCATAAACATTCACAAAACAGCAGGTAGCTTTGCTTATACCCTATAAGCCCTCAACACCCAAGAACCCTTCACCTTCGATAACCCGAGTCTTCTCAAAGAGACTGGAATCCCATATACACAATAGACCGCCTGCCTTACCGTTTGAGCTTTTAGCACACCAGTCAAAATTACCCTGCCCCCAGATTGATCTGCATAACTGCTCATCAACAATTTCAGCTTTTGTTTCTTGAATCATTAACAAGTTTATCTGCTCCTGGTGAACCATACTCCGCAACTTTCTCCTCTTGATGCTATTTGCAAGACCGCGGGTGTTAAATGTGACTATCTTCATTGAAAAGAGAATCTGGTAATGGGAAGGAAAAAGGATCTAAGACAATTGATGCCCCAGATCTCGTTCCTCCAGTTCACGAAACTTAGTAGCAAAGATATCTTCATTTCCAACAAAACAGAGTCCCAATCGCTTTCCAAATTCCACAAATTTCTTGATATCCAATTCCTCAACATCTTTTGCTGATCTTCTACTTCTTTCCCAAAAGCTGTCCAATAGAGAAGGCCCCAGCTGCTTAGATCTTAATAGTCGTTTCTTGCATCTCTTTGCTTGCTTGGAGATTTTCTTCCTTCTTCCATGGTTTAGCCTTGTGACACATCTGAGGGTTTTGACATTTTGGAGATGGTCGGTGCTTTGTGCAGATTCTGCAGCTTGATGAGGATTTATCTCTAATGGATCTTGGGCTGGGATTCTTGAGACAAGATCTTGGCCGAAAGAGCCACAAGTTTGGTACGGGCTGATCTGGGCCTTCATTGGAGTGTTTTGGCCATTTTGAACCTTGGGCCCATTCTCATCTGAATGGGAGTTTGAAGAAAGTTGCGTGCTTAGGCTGTTTAGCACTCTGTTGCCGCCACCTAAATCTGACACAGAAGCTTCAGTGTTCCCTCTTGCATCATTCCCCAAAATCCCCAATTTATTGCTGGACCCAGCTTTTTCCTCGTGACTATCAGAACCAACTGGCAATTTGCTTAGATCACAAAAGTGACCGTTATCAGTTTGCGGTGGCTGTTCAACTTCATCTTCGGAGGCCATGCTCCCTCCACCGGAATTTTGATCAGAATCTGAATCGACGTGATCATCAGAATCAAGCGTGTCACTATCGTAGACTTGGGTCGTCTTTAGCCACCATGGATCTGTCCTCCATCTTTCTTCTGTGATTTTTAACAAATAAGAATGCCCTCGGTTGTTTAAGTAGATATCCTACTCTATTTGGTTTACTTCAGTAGTTGTGATGAGAACTCTAGCAGCATCAAGACATATTCTATCAGCAGTATGAGGATCCACCTTAATGAAGCTGCCTAATTTATTCCCAATCCTTTCGAATGTCTTCTGATTCCAAACCTGTAGAGGAAGGCCAGTAATTCTAATCCAGGCAAATCTTTCTTCAGCTATATCCGATGGAGTCCAAAGCTTGATTCTACGAAACCATTTACTCCACCAACCTTCTTCTTCCTCTATAAACCTGGATATTTTGTTCAAATCCTCATTTTGTAGCAAAATTTTGCATCCCCCCATTGGTGTAGTTGTGATGTGAGAGAACCCATTCTCCCAAAAGGTTTGCTGAAGACCAGGAATAAGATAAGGGGAGAGAACTTCCCCTGTAGCACAACTGTTAAGCCAACTGGAGTCCTCCATGTCATCTTCCACATTCAAGGCTAACTTCGTTTTGCTCTTTGTCTTCTCGGTTACCAGTGGACAAGTTTGTGGCATAGCGTTTGTCCTGCGTGTTTGGCTATCAGAATATGGGGAGTTAAGGCCATTTAGTAGGGCTTCAGCATAGGATTTTGTTTTGAGGGTTCCTGGTGGTGGTGGAGGTGGTAGTGGACGGGGGTGTTTAAGGGCTGGTTGTAGTGGTTTCCTCTCCTTTGCCAGGGAGATCCTGAGTTGTTCAGTACCAAAACAGATCATCTTGAGCATCTTCTCTAATCTGGCTTTATCTCTGACCTCTGAGAACCTGATGAAGCCAAATTTGTTTCCTTTTTTGTCTTTCTTTCTGGGGATGCATACATCTACAATCTGTCCTAATCCAGCACCATAGGTTGCAAACAGAAACCAGAGTCTCTTTGGGGACCAGTCCTCGGGGAAGTTTGAGAAGAGGTAGGAGGTAGCATTTTTCAGTAGTCCACGATCGTACATTGGCAGTCTGGAAGGAAGAGATCTCTCACCGATATTTGCATTCGCGTTCTTCATCGTTGATTCGAGCCGTAGTACTTTGCTTCTCACTGTGGGTTTCACGTTCTTCATCGTCGGATTCCTCTGCGGTTTTCGACGGTGACTGGCTTGAGAAGAGACGATGCGGCGCAAGTGAAATCGCATGTGACTAACTCTGGATGATCCAGGGATGTGACATTAAATGAATATAAAAAGGTATTAAATTAATAAATGCATATAATATTACTAGTAAACTATTGAATGAAAAAATTAATTATATAACGACATATTATATTATAAACTTTTAATATCACTTGATATTATAATTAAAGCATTTTTGTTAAAAAAGTTATGCAGTTAAATTCTTTCAATCCTTGTTTAAAAGTTACGTTAAAAGATAATCTTTAAGTAAATTTTAAAGATGCTATACATTTAAATTCTCAAAAAATTATTAAAAATTAATTTTAAAGTCAATTTTTAAATCTTCTTTCAATAAACTTTTTAAATTTATGATGAAAAAAATTACTTTTAAAATAAATATTTTTAAAACTTTGCTAAACACTCTCTCAAAATGTATCTCGATATCAAAGTGATGTATCCATTTGTACCCAAAATTCTACAGTTGATTGTTATAGTCAATGCTCTGCAAATTACCAAGAAAGTGAAGGTCTAGGTGCGAGGTAATTAAAATTAAGCATCATCTAAAAGGAGACCATCAAGGAAAGTCGTTACCTTTGAGCTAGGTACAACTATCTCAATTTAATTGATGATGCTTTCCGCATTCAAAATAAAAATAATATTACTCCAAAGGCTGTTGATCAAATGTTGGAAGGTTGAAAATTTTGATAGTGGAAGACACAAGTATGATTGAGAATTTTTGTATATATTTCATTAGTACTAAGAAAGCAGTTATATATAAGTTTGTATGACTTAATCTAAGGTGTACAGAAATGGAATGTAGAATGATTCTAGCCTATAATACATTAATGTGAAAGATATGACAGTTTTATTTTCAAATTGTTCCCTGATCTTCTCTGCAGCATTTCCGCCTTGATCAACTCTTCACCACTTATGCCTCAATCATCTCTATACTCCCCCTCAAGTTGGAGCATGAACGTTACAAGTGCCCAACTTGGATAAGATGGCTAAAAGTTTCTCTCGGCCCAAGGCCTTAGTGAAAATATCTGTTAGTTGCTAATGGGATGGCACATGTGTTGCAACTAATTCCTTGCTTTGTATTCTTTCTCGTACGAAATGGCAGTCAATTTCTATATGTTTTGTTCTTTCATGGAACACTGGATTGGAGGCAATGTGTAGTGCTGCTTGATTGTCACAGTGTAGTGTCATTGGTTGTGGATGAGGGACTTGAAGATCATGAAGTAAAGACTTCAACCAAATGAGCTCACTAACAGTTGTGGCCATAGCCCTGTACTCTGCTTCCGCCGAAGATGTCGAGACAGTCACTTGTTTCTTAGACTTCCAAGAAATTGGAGAATTGCCAAGACATATAAAATATCCAGTTGTAGAACACCTTGTCATGGGACAACCTGCCCAATCTGCATCACAATAAGCCGTTAATTGAGGTCTATTTATAGAGGAAAGCATGATGCCTTGACCAGGGGAAGATTTAATGTATCGTAGCATTCTCATGGCAGCTTCAAAGTGATCTTTTTTGGGATTTTGCATAAATTGAGTAAGAATTCCAACAGAATAGCATATGTCTGGCCTGGTAATAGTTAAATAAAGTAGCCTTCCAACCAATCTATGATATTGAGATGGATCGGGGATAGGCTCACCAGATTCTGAATTAAGGTGATGATGTTGTTCCATGGGAAAAGCACTAGGCCGAGCACCAATCATACCTGCTTTCGTGAGTATGTCTAGGGCATACTTTCTTTGGCTAAGGACAATCCCATTTGGAGTTTGAGTCACCTCAATGCCGAGAAAGTACTTCAATGGCCCAAAGTCTTTGATTGAAAATTTTGTGTGTAGATAAACCTTCAAGGTTGAGATGCCACTTAGATCATTCCCTGTTATGATGATGTCATCTACATAGATAAGGACTGCAATGAACTTTTGATTATTGGTAAAAGTGAACAAAGAGTAATTTGCATACGATTGGACAAATCCTGCATCTTTTAAGGATTTTGTAAATTTTGCAAACCAGTTGCGTGAAGCTTGCTTGAGTCCATAGAGCGACTTGCGGAGTCTACACACTTTACCTCTATCCTTACAGTTGAAACCTTGTGGAATTTTCATGTAAACTTCTTCATTTAAGTCTCCTTGTAAGAAAGCATTGTTTACCTCAAGTTGGTGGAGCTCCCATCGATTCATGGATGCAATTGCAAGTAGAACACGAACTGTAACTAGTTTTGCGACCGGTGCAAAAGTTTCATGGTAATCAAGCCCTTCAATCTGTGTGAACCCCTTTGCAACCAACCTTGCTTTGTATCTTTCTATGGTACCATCTGCTTTGTATTTTATTTTATAGACCCACTTGGAATCTATTGCTCGTTTGCCTAGTGGTAGAGTCTCAATTGTCCAAGTCCCATTCTGTTCAAGGGCAGTAATCTCTTTTTGCATTGCTTCTCTCCACTTCTCGTCCTTAACTGCTTGAGAAAAAGAGCTTGGCTCATCCACAGAGCTGATGGCCGCTAGATAGGCAAGGTGAGTGGGAAGTAAATGAATTATATGACAAATAATTAGAGAGAGGATACAAAATACCTGAGTTGGCTGAATGCAATGGAGCTTGCTTAGGATTCATGGACTTTGGCCAATCGCATACATAGTCATTGACATGCTTTGGTGGATGGCGTTCTCGGTGTGGCCTAGGAGGCTGTTCAATGTGATGATTTTGGCTCATATCTTGGTTTGTGGGGTTCACAGGTTGGTCATGATTGTTTATGTTTGGTTCAGCAACATTTGGTAGTAGTGGTGGTACGGTGGTGGTGGCTAATTGGTTTATGGTGGATGTCGGATACAAGTCCTGGTCATCAAAGAAGTCTGCAACATTAGGGGTTGATGATGCTTCTGCCTTACCAACATCTTCTGACCTGTAGGGGAAGATTTCTTCATGGAAAATAACATCCCTCGAGATAAAAATTTCATGTGTCTCCAAATCATAAACTTTATATCCACGTTTTCCAAAAGGATATCCTATGAACACACATTTGGATGCCCTGCTATCAAATTTATTCCGAGCTTTAGAATTGTTATGGGCAAAACAAAGACAGCCAAAGGTTTTGATGTAATGATAGTTAGGTGTCTTGTTGAAGAGCTTTTCAAAGGGTGTGAGTTCAGAAAGAACAGGTGTTGGGGTTAGATTGATCAAATAAGCAGTAGTGAGGATACAATCACCCCAGAATTTTAGAGGTAGGTTGGCTTGGAAACGCAGGGCCCTAGCAACCTCAAGTAAGTGGTGGTATTTGCGTTCAACTACACCATTTTGTTGTGGTGTATTGACACAGGAAGTTTGATAAAAGATGCCTTGTTGCTGAGAAAAATCCTTCATTGGACCATCAATGAATTCTTTTCCATTGTCACTTCTGATCTTTTGAACCTGGCTGCCAAACTGAGTTTTCACCATACAACAAAAATTTATAAGATAAAAGGATGCCTTAGACTTATTCTTTAATAAATAGATCCATGTGCAACAAGAAAAGTCATCCACTACAGTCAAGAAATAATAAGCACCACTATTGGAAGGCATGGCAAATCTTCCCCAAATGTCACAATGGATTAAAGCAAAAGGTTGAGTACTGATGTTATTACTTTTAGGAAATGGTAGCTTGGTTTGTTTGGCTTTATGACAAATATCACAAATTTTCATACTTTTTCCAGTATTGAAAGAAAGAAAGGGAATTTTAGACAAATGATCTATTGAGACATGACCCAACCTCCTATGCCATAGCTCAAGTGATGCCTCATCCTCTTGCTTTCTTTGACTGGCTGCAGCTTTATGGCCAAAGTCATAGTAATAGATCGCATTATAAAGCTTGCCCATTCCAATCAGCTTCCTCCAGGTAAGATCTTGAAAAACACAAAAGTCAAGGAAAAAGCCAACTCTGTTCCGTGCATTGGCAGTGTAATTTTTTCCCCCACAATTATGTTGTTCAAAAGCCAATGTGTGTGGTTATTTAAAGACCCCAAGTTATTGTAATTCTTTTGTAAACCACCAGACTCTATTTGAAGATCAGAAAGTTGTCGACACCTTTTGCCCCTCTCCATGCCTAGACCAGGCCTCATCTTTGCCGCTCTTCTTCTTCTTCTTCTTCTTCTCGATATGGTGACAACTGAAATAACAGAAAGTTTCAAATGCCTTAGACCAATAACCCCCTCTTAACGAGTTATCAAGTAATACAATCACAAACATTCTCAAAATGTTATCAATTCAAAAGATCTTTATAAGTGCTAATAGATGCAAGAAAATCTTAAAAAGTATTGTGAG